AAATTCTGTGAGCGATGTATCTTACAAGAGATGCAACAGAACCTCTTTTAGTATAATTAAAATGACAATCAAGCAAATTTATATTTGTAAAGTAAATAAAGGACATAATAAGTTGTAAATAATTTTGAATAAACGTGAAAAGTGATTTGAAGTAAATCATATTTTCTTTATACGCAGCTCTGAAGGTGAGAGCGTGAATATAAAGAGAAATGTGTGTATGAATATAAAGAAGCCAAACATTAGGTCCGTTAATTGAAACATGTGATTTTTGTTTTTATAAGATAAATTATATTTAGAAAGACTTGATTCTGCATAAACGATATCTATTATATCACATACAGCGAACACGGATCTCATTTCAATGACAAACTGTCTTGTTTGTCATGCTGTCGTCATACTCAGACGCAGCTAAAACGCACCATGCACTGACACTGATTTGAATGGAGCGGTCGTACTATCCCCCGACTAGAACCGACAAGGGCGTGGAGGGGGGGGGGGTGTAGCGCCTAAAGTATTGCAAAAAGGGACCGACAAGGTAAGATATGGTAGAGATATGCATATTCAACAATATCGGCATGTAGTCGCGTCTTTAACAGAACTGTAGGACTTATACTGACTCTTTATAGCCTTATAAAAGCCACATTTTATACACCATGTCAGCACCATAGCATCGTAATTGTCAGCAATCCCACTCTATAGGGTTTTTTTTTAGTGTTCACAACTATTCGATCATGAAAACACTATGTCGGGATCTGATGTTATTACAGGGGCCTGTTTCACGAAATTGTAACTAAAGTAAAATTCAAATTTTAGTAATTTGATTGGATAATATTAGATTGATTTTAGTGCTTAGCCAATCAAAATTGAAGTATCTACTAAAATTTGGATTTTATCTTTAGTTAAAATTTCGTGAAACAGGGCCCAGAATTGCAAGATTAAAGTGTATTTCTCACCATCATTATAAATGTGCTGCGTTTTCATAGCGTGCCAATATATCATACGTGTGTAAAAATCCCAGTGTCCCAACAATCGAGAATAATATGGGAAAGATTAGGTAAACCCTAAAGACGGATAAATAAACGAGGAATGGTGATATTGCAAATTAATATGATGATATATTTGGGCTAAAAACATATTCAAACTAACTAATTATCTATCAAAAGTTTGTTTCATATCCCTTTCAAAACTCCCACAGAATCTATTCTCACCATCTGTATATCTCGTGACTTGTTTGAAAGAGAACAGCTTTGTCAATAGTTGCTGTCAATTTACCATAAATATGGAAACAGAAGTAAATTCCTGGACGTTTATTCTCTCAATAGATAAGAAGCGCCCCATACATACGTCACTAGAGGAGACGGACTGTCTGTTAAGGATACCCTCACAATTTTTGTCTTGTGCGTGTCCCGTGGGTGTTTTAGGGAAATCCGGTACTTTGCTAGTAAGATTGTGCGTCTCTACTTTCCTAGTCGGATCACAACCCCCAGGTTTGGTGATGGTTTTTGATAGAAAGGACCCTAGTGAAAATATTTGTAGTGTGCTACCTCTGAAATCTACGGGCTAACTCCAGGCGAGCCGAAAACCCAAGATGGCGGTCTGAGATTGACCTTGACAAACATTCTCTACGAAATGACCTGTGTTTTGGACAGTTTCCGATTCAATTCTCAAACGATTGATCCAATATGGCCTCCAAAATCCAAAATGACGATAGAAATTGGATTGAAAAGTATTCTTTTACTACTAATAGCAACCTGTGATACTGGTTTCGTGGATTGTGAGGGACAAGAAACACGAATTTTAAATGAGATAGCATACAAATATTAAGGATTTTTCCGACCACAGACCTACACATGTAATTATAACAACCATAAATTGTTCCAGATATCCATGAATCTCATCCTTCATATATTACAGCTATCATAATACAGTATAAAGCACTATATAAAAATGTATTCCGCAGTATGACTCGTTAAGTGTAGGATAAAGCATGAGACTGAGGTTATGCTGGGGAAAGAAAGACTGAAGAAAATAACCCGAGAAAAAGAAAAACCGAGGCCGACAGGCCGAGTTTTTCTGTCGAGGGTTTTTTCCGAAGATTTTCTTCGCCAGCATAACCGAAGTCGAGGAATTTATCTTGCTTATAAACCGTCTATGTTTACATGTACGCAAAATGAGAATATCCCAGAATTCCCATAAGAAAAACCTTAGATCATGTTTTCTTATGAAAAAAAACCTACCCTGGAAGAATAACCTGTTACAGGTTTAAAGAAAAACTTTCAGAAGAATAACCCCAAATTCCCCTGTGTATATTCAAAGCCGCCCTCGACTTTCAGACCTCAAGTTATTCCGGGCATAGAATATACCTCAAAGATCAAAGAGATTTACCGTTACAGGTTTATAATGTCACAAAACATGACGTGTCCAGAGTCTGAGTATTTTGAGTCATCTATCGGACTTGCACACTCAGATTGAGAAGCATTGTTATTATGGGCATCGTGTGTGTCTCATACACTTTCCAGCCATGTCCAAGAGATCAATGTGAATTCTAGAGTCTGTAATGCAGCATAACGTAGGATTGATAGCATTTTTGGCCCTTTGTCTTATATTATCCCGATCATGTCGTAAACGCGTGGTACGCAGTATAAATCGTATGCTTGCAAGTTACTGAACAGTTCTTTTTGTTCTGTTTTTTTTTTCAAATATCCGTGATCACTTCCGAATTTGGGCATTTATATATAGTCTTTTCAAACTGTATACATGTGGGCACTCAAGTCACAACACATTTAAGGGTCAAATAGAAGTTAAGTCTGAGTACATTTTTATAATGGCGGAATGGATATCTCTGAAACGCGGTAAGAGTTGAAGAATTTTGATAAATAGTGACATGACTGTTGCTTGTTGAGATTTAGTCTAATGAAATTGCTTGATCCCAAAATTTTTGGTGCAAAAGCAACTTGATTGAGAAAATTTTGGACCCCTCGTGAACCCCTCGTAGGTATGTTGATTGAGTGGTGCTTGTCCAGATGCGCTCATGGGGAATCCACTCAAAGAGTGAAATCAAATTAGGTTTGTTGAAATTTGAAATTATCGCTGTTACCTTTGTTGTAAAACTAAAAGGTTTATTTCATCTGAAATTTTGGAGGCCATATTGGATCAATCGTTTGTGAAATCGCCGACAATGTTTGTCAAGGTCAATCTTAGACGGCCATCTTGGATTTTCGGCCCTCCTGGAGTTAGCCCGTAGGTTTCAAAGGTAGCAAACTACAAATATCTTCACTAGGGTCGTTTCTATCAAAAACCTTCGCCAAACCTTGTTCTCCGAGTTAGCCCGTAGCTTTCAGAGGTAGCAAACTACAAATATCTTCACTACGATCCCTTCTATCAGAAACATTGGCAAACCTTGTTCCCCGTCAAATGTTCACGGATATGGGGGTTGTGACCCGACTATTCCATACCAAATTTGCCAAACTTTTATTGGCAATAACTACTCGATAAATACTTTCATGGGAATGTATCTTTTACAAATACTTTTGCGTTCCTTTTTGTTTTCCAACGAGTAACATAATTTTTGTTGTGTTTTAATTGCCTGTTGGTATCGTATAACCGCGGTTTCAGGTCACTATGAAAAATTGGAGACGAGGGTTCTATATAAGCCATTCGCTTGTTTCGGTATTCCGTGAGTAAAAAATTGTTTAAATAAATAAAAAAATACAAAAAAAATTGGGCGATCATTTCTCCACAGCACAATATTTTGAGCGGACACCGTGAATTCTGATTTGCATACTTAAACGACAGGTTTTCGGATATCCATAGAATTGGGGACTTCTTCTTTAATGAAGCTGCCATACGATAGGTGATGGAACCTATAATATGTGCCAAGTTTTAAATAATCCAAATTTACCAGTCATTGCATTCCAAAATTCTTTTGTCTGTAGAGTGATAAAATAATGAGCGACACAATGATTACTAAATCAGTCTAAAACAAAGAACTGCACATCTATGGCAGGCTATGTCTTAGTAACAGCTGTGCAAAGCTCCAAAGTTGGACGGATTAACAGACAATGACATATCATATAATACAGCGCATTTTTGTAACAGGTGTTATGAGATGGACAGAAAACAAGCTGTCGGACAGTTTCTGTCTGATTTTCACGAAATTCGAACCCAACTTTTATAGGTTTAACACTGATATATTTAAACGTTTTTTTTTAAAATCGGATAAAACAAATTGTGACTTCTAGAGGGTTCACAACCTAAAAACTGGATTTTTTTAACAATCAGGTGCCATAGTCTAGGAAGATACGATCCGATATGCGTTAATATCGAAACATATATTTTAACTTTCATCAAAATCGGACAAAAATTGTGACCTCTAGCTGGGCCACAACCTTGGTATTGAATACTTTTACACTATTTGAGTTCAAGGAGAGGTCATTTTGTCAGGCAGTTTTGGTCCGATTTTTACGAAATTTGAACTCAATCATCAATATTCAAACGATTTTTAAAATTGCATTAAAAATTCTGACCTAAAGAGGGTTCACAAGCTAAAATCGCGGTTTTTTCGTACAAGCAGGGGCCATCAGAGATCGATATGCGTGAGTATTACTTACTTTAACACTACTTGCGTATATAGAGCGGCCATTTTGTCTGACAGTTTCGTCAGATTTTCACTTAATACTAACTCAATCATCATTGTGGTGTAACGGTGATATATTTGAACGGGTTTTTAAATCGGATAAAAATTGTGAACTCTAGAATGTCCCCAAGCTCAAAATTAGGGGCTATAATCCATGAAGTTACGGTCCGATACACACCAATTTCGAAAGGAACTGAGATATTTGTGAGATACAACTATATTTCAAGTTTCGTTAAAATGGGATAAAAATTATGACCTGTAGAGTGTCCACAAACTTAATGTGAACCGACTGGCGGGCGGACTGGGGCGACGACAAAATACGTCCACATGAAAATGTGGGCGTATAAAAATCAAACACAGATAATTGTAAAATATTTCAAATTTTATTTTTAAGACAACAAACAACACTTTTTTAAAATATGATATTTATATGTATATATTTATAATACAAGATGACCGCCTATAGTCAATGTATTCTCGTTTAAAAGGGAATGTACATGCATGTATAAGGCATTGTTGGGATAATCTCTAGAAGCTAGTCTGCTTTTATTATCCTGGTGTGAAACTGAGATTTAATTGCAAAGCTTTACAGAAAAGGGTCTAAAATTTGCTAGACAGTTGCTAAATCAAATAAATATTCAAAGTACACCCGCGAGCGCCTGATTTTTAAATGATAAAAACCTCACATTTCATTAATATTGCAGCTTGGTGGAATTTTCAATGGACAGTAATATAAATAATATTTAATGATATCAATGGCACAAAATTAAAAGCTACTAGTTGAAAATAATTATATATACTTGCAGATTTAAGGTAAAACTTGTTACAGCTTAACCGCAATGTATTTAAAAGAAAAAATAAATCATGACTTTAAAATTTAGTTCATTTGAAAATGTGATTCAATCAAATAAAAAATTAACATATTTATAAACATCCAATAACAAATTTTGCAAATGTAACAAAATTGGTACACAAGACATAATTATAAAGTGTAGCAAAGAAGAACCGAAAATAATCTCAGCAAAAGGCTAATGAGGTTTTCAGAACAAAAAAAAAAACCACCAAGGATTTATTTTAAATAGTTCATGGAAGCAATCGTCAATTATACACGGATGTATGCATATATAAATAAATCAATGACCAACGTAAATTTGATAAGTAATTACTCTAATTTTATTCCGGCTATTTGATTTCCTGTATAGGGTCAACTGAGAACCTCCAATAATTAATACACTCGAGTATATAATTCATATGATTCAAATTTCAATATTAAATGTTACATTTGTAAACCGTATTTAACTACCAACAACAGCTATAATAATATAGCAGTAGGTCAACTGAAAGAGTTTAATTATTTCAACGATAAAGTGTTTAACTATGTACATCTTAGGCTTAGTAAGTCTCGTAGTCATTTTTTCAATAAAACATTAAAATAAAAATCTTTGGCCGATATAAGTGGTTGATGTTAAATTGTTTGTATTAAAGCACGTTACATCGTCGTTGGAACAGATCTGTGTTTATAAAGTAGCGTACTGTAACGATTGCAAAAACAACGATATGATATATCTCTGACATCACAAATGCAACCGATATCGGCTGAATAACGACGTTTCAGAGTAAAAACGTTAAATATTACGTTCAATAACGGCGATTTAGAAAGGTATTAAATAAAGCGACGTAATATCATATACCATTGGACAATTGAATAATCAGAAAATCTTAGCTCAGATTTTGGTTAGCACAAATTAGAAAATAGCACTTTTTATATAATAATACAAACAAAACAATAAAATAACACATATTGATACTTAATGTGAAGTACGGTTTCTTGCTGGGGACATTCTATAAAACACATATTATGTGGAAACCATGAATTATATCACTATAATTATTTAGCCTATTTAATTCAATTAATCATACCGTGACAATTTAAGTTTAATCGCAAACACAGCTTATTGGTCGATTTAAATCAACATTGATGTTGGCTTCTAATATCCAATAGTTAAGACAAAATGAAAATTTTAAAATTGGCAGAGAATCGCGTGCGAGAATGCTATCGGGCGCCATTTGTAATGAAGTGACTCGATGAACCAGACTGCCATTCAATTTTGACTCATCGCGTATTTCGCCGAACATAACTGATTAGAAATTACAGTAAAACAGAAACGATTGAATGTAAATTAGTTTATATACATTCATATTACATTATTATATGCGTTGCGACCCATTTGTGTCCATTTGTAGGTGCCAAAAAAGAGAGATTTAGCTCCTTTACAATAGCTAACAATAGGCCCAATAGATAAAATAAAAAGTCACCCAGTTAAGAAAGATTTTAGATTTTTGTTCAGATGCACGGGATAGACCACAAGGAATTAAATATGATAAAGAAAGGAAAATATATCAAAATGTATTTCATTAATAAATTTCTTTTGGTTTATAAAAGGTCTAATACAAATGTAGATAAAAATATATTTTCAATACTATTTTATTATACTTCCAACTTGAACCAAACCTAATTGTCTCGCAACAAAAGATTATAGTCATTAATATCAATCGTACATGCATTCCACATAGAAACGTGTGCGTTTAATTTGTACTTAACTTGAATACTACATCCTATATTACATACACGATATATTTGTGTCATAAGTGGTGTCTTATAAGACATCGTATTTAATATTTACACAAGGCTTTATTTATATTACAAACAATAAAAATCTTTGGTCGATCAATACTATGCTGTATTGTATAATCTTGGAATAAAATACTTCGTATTTTCTTCTACGGTCTTTGGTTGGAATGCACCATTAAGAATATCTGTAATTTTACAACGTTCTACACCAACGTGAATAGTTAAATTAGTTGGTGCTCCCTGATCAATCATTGAATTTCTGATATCTCCTGGTATAAATTTCGACGATCAAATGAAAGACAAATTCATCTACTCGACTTCATGGGATATTTTCAATCTGGTACGTAATGTAGTATGTTCCTATAAATTAATCATTTTTGGCTTAGGTCAGCTTTAAACAAGATCAATGTGATCAATAAAATCAATTTTGCTCTTTTCGCAATGGCCTTAATTCACAATATGTATTATTAAACAACATAACACTAAAATAGTAAACGTTATTACAGCGTCGTCACTGAAGTCGCCTCTATAGGTTTAGCTGAGGAGACGAACTAACCTTCGTCAAATGTAGCCGCAGCTTTCAGCAAATTAATGATGACTGGCGAGCGCGATTGATTATTTTGGATCAAAATAACTATCAATTACTACATCTAATTTCTTTCTTTAAAACAAAACGCTCCCCGGAGACCAGAAATACTTCTGTTGTTTAATACCACCATCGTCGCAAGTTAAATAGTTTAAACACAACAAAACATCGATTCACAAATATTAACAAACAAACAGACGACAATTACAACACGTTGCTGTTGCTGTTTGTTCAATGTTTCAGTGTTGCAAAAACACTTGATGTTGTTTCGAATATTTGAATTTCAACAGTTTTTATTTTGGCCAATGTTTTAGTAATCATTCATCTGTCAAACTGGCGGCACAGAGTGATGAAGTTGGTGATGGTGATGTTCCATTTGAGGTGAACAGAAATAATGAGGAGGCAAAGGTTCGGATTTTACCAAAGGCATGGAAAAGTTTGACCTCATATCGTCAAGCATTTTGGGCGCCATGTTGTAGTCCCGGCCATAATCATGAGTCAACATTGATTGGTTCATATTACACATTTGATGCATGGCATGTTTCATAGACTCTTCTGTCATATCACTGAAAATAAAAAAGGAAACAAACATTAATGAAAATTTCTAAAATTGTAAACTAAACGAGAACCATGTAGGATAATTTGTGTCAAAGTTCTTTATCACGCTATCATGGATTTAAATCACCTGAAAGACTCAAAGGTAAAAGTAAAACAAATCCAAAACCAAATTTGGAGCCCAACTTCGCAATTATCAAGAATCTTTCAACCCATATAATCAAGTTAACGACATATTTGATTCTGAATGAACTAAAATAGTGATATCGGGCAGTGCTAGTTATCCGCTAGTGTTAACATAAAACGTCCAAAGCTAAACCTGGAGCTCAGCTTCTGTCTTCGAGTTCCAAATATTGTTGAACGTACAACTAGCAATAGTTAAACTCATGATGAAGCTAACCACACATCGGATTCTAAACTAACTAAGAGTACAACTTAAACCAGATAGCTTTAATCATGCTGGAAGGCGGGGTCCATATAATTTCATATGTGACCATTTCTTCCAAGGTGTACATTTCTTCCAGCGAGTAGATCTAGTGATGTTTTTGCAAATGATTGTTTTATTGATACAGAGAACCAATCGGCCAACACCTCACAGAAATCACTGTTCCCTACTTCCCCTTGTCGTTTTAGTCGGGAGTCAGGGGTGGTAACTTTGAACTATTGGTATTTCCACAGATCTTATCTAAGTGTTTATCGGAGTCATGATTTTAAGTGCAGGAACATTTTTCTTTTTTGGATTTTATCTGTGTTAAAGGAGGCTTGCACAGGGGTTAGGTCAAAATAAATTTCTTCTATTTTAAACAAAGTGTGACATTAGGAGTCCAGGATCGGACAGCAAGACAATTTATTGTAAAAGTTCTACGTAACGTTATCATTAGTTTAAATGGCGTAACGATAGCAATTCGTAACATATACCATTATCTCCCTTGACCCCAAGGTCAAGATTCGTCTGCTTTCTGGAATCATTCACAAATATAAAGAAAAACGCCCATTTTGTCCAAAGATAACATCATTAACATGACCTTCAAGGAATGTTTAAAACAAATTCGGGTTAATTATAAAACTGTAAGTCATATCTTCATCTGATATTTCGAGTTGAACAGACACGGTTTCGTCTGCTGAGATGAAATCGTGATTCTAGCATTTCGGCATGTAAGAAATGATTAGAGTGGGTATCTCTCAGTCCTCAAAATAGAGAGGCGGTGGGTTGGGTTGGGGGATATATGAGCGTGTCTGCATAATTTTTTTAGGGTCAGTTTGTGAGATTAACGGTTATGTAAAGCATGGCGGAATGCCGTTCAAGTGGTCATGACGTTTTTTATATTAAAGTACATAAGGAAAACCACCCATAGCAAGGACAAAATACTGTCATACCAGAGAGTTTCTGAGTGTTAGAGAGATCATACTTTGAAAAGAAAACACTTTTTTTCTTGTCAAATTTTAAGTATGCAATATATCGTTCAGGTATCAAAGTTAGTATTTCTTAAATAAGATTTGGACAAAATAGACCACGACTCCAGACTGGAAGGCTGCCAACTACACAATGGACTTAATACATATATCTTTGTTCATGGAAATCTTGAATGAAGCAAAGGATACTTTACTTAAGTCGTAAATACCAAATGTGAATTCGCTTTCTTGGTATGCCAAATCTGTATTATTAGTTGTACTACTATTAGATAAGATTTGACCATTCAAGTTCTGGCAAACTGCAGTTGTAATTGTTGGCAATTGATAAAACAGGACATGATTCAAGGCTTGAAGGCTGCCAACTACACAATAGACTTTATACATATATATATTTTTTTTTCATGCATACTCTTGAACGAAACGAAGGATATCTTAAGTCGTAAATGCAAATACATGTATGTAAATTTGCTCCCTTGGTATACCAAATCGGTATAGATTTCTATATTTTACAACACTTATAATATAGTAAATTGTATAAACAAAAAACAAAAAAACGCCCGGTAAAATTTAGACACATCTCGTTGTCAACTTGCAGAAAGCAGATAAATTACGTATATTATAGTTTTTGAATTCGTTGCTATTTAAATTACAGTGGGACGTTAAACCTAATTTCATTTCATTGCATTTAATTAAATTGGTTGAATGTAGACTGTATTCAAGTACAGAGATAAATTAAATTCTAGTACATTTCATACACTGAAATCTGGGTTTGTATTTCCGGTTTCTTTAATTTTAAACAGATGACGTCGTGAATTGTTTAAATTGACGTCATATATCCTCTAGGTTATTCTAAATTAATTCAAATAACACAAATAAACAAATACGAGGATTAATTGGGTCGGCTTAAAGAGCTGAGCGTGGGTGCAGAGTGGCGTGAATTATCTAAATTGTAGATCGGAATCAGGGGGCGGAAGTAACAATTGTAGAGCCGTCATTATGGCTCGTGCTGTCCTCTTGTCAACTTCCGGTTTCCGCAATCTACGACATCCTATGGTTGTACGATTGACTGAAGCTCGGGTATTTTAAGAAACTCTTAACCTTTAAAATAGGAAATTTTATGATCACTGATAACTAAGAAGCTACCGTCAAATACTTCAAACGTTACATAACTAGCGCTCCCGTAGGAAACGCAACTCATGATAATGCATTTGAAACCGGTTTAGCAAGGAAACGTAATATAAATCGTGTGAAAATCTGTTGCGGTTACCAACTTGAAGTGATGTTTAACAAGTTGATGTGTAATTTTATTTGATGTATCGGATATTTGAGAATCAAGATAACACAGACACCCCCTATAAAATGGACGAGAAAATACTAAGTTAAAGAAGCATAATAGTTTCGTAGTTGGGCCTATTGGTGCATTTCTTGACACTCTCCAGAATTCAAAATCACAAGATGATTAGTTGAATGGATGGAGAGATGGAATCAGGTGGTAATCAAACTAGGCACACCATGCCCTTTGCACACATCCATTACTACGCATGGATTTGGGAGCGATTTTATAATAGGAAGTCGATGAACAAGTGTAAGTCACTGAACAGATATTGTCATCCCTCATTAAGACTACCGTGTTCAATGATTGCTGTTGCCGTGGGAAATTTATTTTTTCAGATAATACCATACGGTGACCACCCCCAGTAAGTTCGGCTTCTGGAGACCAAGTATTGCTGTAATCAGCTATTGTGGCGGGCGGTCGGTACAAGGTATCGTATACTTACGCTTTCTAGCAAACCTAGCTAACAATTTAAGATGTAATTTTGTATGTTTTCTTGCAAAACATCCTGATTGTTTTTTTCTTGAAATATTAAAAACCTATTAAAATTTAACGTCAAAAAAGAAACAAAGAAATTGTCTCACACAAAAAACCATCGTTTTCAATTCTGAAATTATCGTAACACCTGCTATATTATCTTATTTTACCTGTATCGTTTTAAAACCATACATGTTAGTTAAAATATGTACTCCTATACGACAAAAAATGTAACCCGATACTGACTAAAGTTGTTTAAATTAAAGAAATCTGTCATATAATGTATGATTATGAGCTTTAGTAAAACTAATAAATCACATAAGTTATAATATCAATGTTATATCTGATAAGCAGATGTCATTTCCCTTCCATAGAGCAACATTATTCAAGCTCGACTATCAAAAAAGATAAATGTCAAAATGCAAAATATAAATACTGACAATGAATACAACTCAGAAACTGTAATGTAAGTGTTATTGTTAATGCAATCACACCGATTTCTTATTACATAAGCATCACAACAATAAATTGCAAATTTACAAATTTAATCCAATATTGTTGCTTTTAAACAAAGTACCAACCGCAATCTAAATCAGTTATAAATTAGTATCAACTCATATTCTAATAATACTAAAATAAATATAAAAAAAATAAAAAAAATAAAAATAAATAATGATTAAAATTAAAATATTACTCAGCTGCATCCAATCTCATATTAGAACACAATATATCTTATTCGTTTCGTTTTCATAGTGCAAACTCAGATTAGTTGTTTCAGGAAATTTAGATAAACCGCTGAATGTTCAAATTTTAAGGAACAGTTTTTTGTGGATGGGGTGTTAATGGGGTGATTTTTGATGTATTTTAAATGATTATTTGGCAGTTATAATTATTTTGGATCCCTTGTTTTGTTTTTAATGTGCATGCTTTAACCTGGCGCACACTACGCGACGACATAGGCGATTTCGGTCGCCGACGATGAAAAATAAAAAAAAATCGCCTAGTGTGCGTACTCGGTCGCTAGCGATTTTTCGTCGCCATCGCGGCGATGGTCGCCAATATCAGACATGTTTGATATGATCGCCCAAGTCGTCGCATCGTCGGCAACAAATCGTGTAATGTGCTCACCTCGGCGACAAGTTAAACGACAACCAAAGAAATAAGTTCACCTATTAAATCAATCATTTTTGGTTATTCTTCTCATGTGACATAACCACACACGAGGTTTCTCGGAATTTTTTTTGTTGGCTCGGGTAATCTTATTTAGGCTTAACTAACTAATTGAAATTATGTTTGCAATTATGGCACTCATTAAACTTGTGAGCTGTCGAATACATAATATCGTAGGTCCTGTGTAGCGAAAAACCGGAGGGTGACAGTCAATCGCTCTCGTAGGCTTATTGGTTCATCAATGGTTGTCTCATCTTGGTTGGTTGTTTGGTAATGAGAGGATTAATTATATTTCGGATTCTCTGGAATATTTCTGGACTCGTCCTCACGTAGGATGTTTTGTATAAATACAAGAGTCGCCCAATTTTAGCTCGTTACTTGGAATACTATAAACGCACTGCACTCGACCGGGTTTGTTTGCCTACTATGACGGCGACACAGCCGCCTAATACAAAACAATAGCAATTGAAATGTATTGCGCGATTACGACTAAAATGCATTTAGAGGTATCACATGACGAAGCACGTGATAGGGTTTATTTTTTTTTGTGATCGCCAAAGTCGTCGTGTACTGTGTGCACACTCTACTTATATTCCGGCGTATAGTGTGCGCCAGGCT